TTTTATTAGAGGAAATTCCACTTTGTATATGCGTGTGTAATATAACTAACATTCTTTACCTGTTTAGTGTTATTGTAGTACATAATTATACGGAAATCATTTAAAAAGTACACATTCAATTTAAAAAGTACAAAAGCCTGCGTGCGAGCCTCGCGTATCAGTAACTGATGATTGATGGTTGTGCAACAAATGAAAAACAATTTTTAGGCATAGTGATGTAACAAAATATCCTTGAACCTAGTTCAAAGTTTAGGATGTGGTTTTTATTTCGGAATGAGATTTACATATTTATCCCGGGGAGAAGAAAGCCGACGAAACAGCCTAATCATATGGCGAACCACAGCCTCTTGTCCGGTTACCATTCCGCGTTGGGTATTGTATTAGTTAGCCAGTTATTTGTGTTCAAATGCATGGACTTGATGGTGGAGAAAGCCGCAACCGACAAGCGGTTACGTAAACTACCCTACGTCGACGAGGAGTCCAGCAATCCACTCTCATATACTTAACCACGCATGTGATACTTCCCTGCGAAACCACGCAGGGTAGGCAAAGGTGTATTTCTAACGCTCAGTGCAATGCGCCACGACGCCGAGTTTTGTGTAAATATCGATTTTTAGTAAAAATAGTTGAGTAGGCTGGAACTAGGCCATCGCCCCACTTCCACCAACCCTTCCAATAAATAGAAACAAAGAAGCAAGGCAACATGCTATATATTTTAAAGTTCCTCAAAAATTTTGAAGCAGCGTCATTTCACAATTCAAGCATGATGCAAAATGCTCGTTGTTCCAAACAAAATTTTTGAATTGTTGAGTTGTCAAGTTGGAGACGGCGAATCTTTTAAATACATTGCAAACGTAGAATATTTTTTGAACGCTTTGCTTACTAGAAAACAAATTATCCATAAATATTTTTTCCACTATTTAAAACGACTTGATTTTGTTATTTATTGAATAAAATTCAAGATTGTGTGAATCAAATCGATACTACGAATTTCAAATAATGACTGGAGTTCGTCATTACTTTATGTTACAGCCTTGAGTTCTTATAATGTTTTCAAATTCAACTTACTATCCAATCTACTAGTGTAATCATTGTGTGTATGTCTACTTCAACTAAAATTACGCATTACATCCAATTTTGAAATATTTATGACGTCATAATATATTTCCTGTTTAACGCAAAAATTCTATGACGTCATAATAGATAAACGCCATTGTTAAAGAAGGGCTTCGCAAATAGCGTACGTAGTCTAGGAGGGTCTATCATCGTCTAAATCCGGCCCTGGCCTAAAGTATTCACTCGGATTCATACTAGTATACGAAATTTTTGGGACACCCTTTGATTGGAACATAATGCTTAGTTTCTCATCGTTATCTGATTAGCTCAATAATCAGCTTGATGGTAAGGCTTCAATCCCCATTATTAAAACCGCGTGTATACATGTTAATATTTCGTAATTTTGAATGCGATTTGCAAAAAGGTTAGAAAAATAATTTTACTTCGTCTACTATGGCATCTCATACACCGTAACAGTATCTCTTCTACAATATAATTCCTATTATGGTGTTATAACCAAGTTGTTCGCTCGTCCATTTCAAACTGAGCCCTGGACGAATCCGACCCGTAAAACCTGATCCTACTCACAACTTTGTTTGCAAAATGTTTTATTTGATTTCAAAATAGTTCAATAATTACAGCAAGTAGAGCTTAAAAAAGTGACTTCAAGTAAAATTAATAGAAAATGTTCCAGAATAATGTTCACCAATAAAAACAAAATAATAATAGAGATTTTATTATGATTTACACTGTTTCGTCACGTGTGTTATCATTTGGAGGAACTGGTTCAGCTGCCTCGCTATCCCTTTTACATAACACAATACAAGGAAAAAATTTTGTTTTCCAATCGGCAAAACAAAATAAAACACAACACATATTGATGAAAGTATTTCCAGGCAAATAATAGAATCGAAAATCGATTGCAATTCCGAGTGTTGATATATCTGTAATAGAAGCAACAATGGCTGCTACGACTGATCGCTTCATGAGTCTTACAAGATGATCAGGAGGTCTTTGATTCTGATGCAAATACTTCAAGCTACGTTGGTGCTTAATTAAGGGAATCAGAAAAAGAGTCAGCAATCCAATCTGTATTTCAAGTTGAATCCCCAATAACATTATCACAATGTAGTCTACATATATCAAGTGTAATATCCCAATTATTCCGACGAGAATAGAAGATATTATTATAAACAATCTCTGGAAGTGACCAAGTTTTTTTAAAAACTCGCACGACAGTTTATTCAAAGTTTTCTCCGTGCTGAACATCGTTTGACGAAACCATAATACCATGTAGATAGATGTTGCAAAGCATATGTATAAAACGAAAGAGCTGTTATAAAAGTTTGATTTGATTCGAAGAAGTGTATGATACCTTCTCTCACATATATCATCTTTGCAAATTATTTCCGTGTTGTTAAATATGCAAACGTCGTCACAGTGCATAATTTCTAACCGAAAGATATTCAATGCGGTAGAACACATAATCGCTGCTATACCAAACAATCCTGCAAGAATGAGAGTGACATTCATAATGACTGGTAGGTTCGACGCCTTCAAAACGTCTCTCAAGCTTCGGATTTTTCTTTTGTATAAGCCCTTCCTTATGAATATAAAAATTTGGCAAATAGTGATGTAGACCAACAAAACAACCAATATCGAATTGGTGCAAATAAAAGGAACAATACGTTTAATATTAATACTCATGATGTCAATGTGTTCAAGACCTTAGTGATTAAATCTATGAAAAAAGAAATAACATTACTCATTATACAGGGGTGGGTGACCTTAGTTATTACGACGCCCTATCCGAAATGAATTG